TAAATCGATATAATTCAGTTGGGTTTTCATCTCATCTCATGTTAATGTTTGTCATCACCATTTCAAAACCATTAGAGTTAAAACTAATTTTTTCAGAACCATCAATATTAGAATCAAAAACCCATGTTGAGATCCTATTCTTGTTTCAGAGATAGGAGAGTACTAAGTTTCATACACTCAATTTTGTGCAGTTCCATGGTTTTCTACCTTGTTTTACGTTGTTTGGTCGTGTTTTGGGTGCTCACTGTTGCTTTTAGCATTTTTTTGGCCCCCTTTTCCCAGCTACATCTCGCAGTTGTTTTTTTAGTGTTTCCGTATCTGCTCTGTATTGTATGTGTTTTTAATACTACGACGTCTTTCAAAAAAATTATTGTATGAAAAAAAAACAGTACTTTAGGAATACTAAATATAGATAAAAGTTGGACCGTCTCATATGGTTGATAATTTTTTTTCAAAATGTAGTTCTCTTAACTAATAACAAGAAACCTATTATATTCTAATACATATAATTCATGAGCATAGAATCAAAAGAGTTGGTAGGAGATGAATCATGGAGAATATATCAAAGTTTTTTAGGCAAGTAATTTTATACTTAGGTACTAGATAAAAAACTCAGAGAAAAAACATTAAGCACATGAAATGAATAACCAATTAACTTTATATATATATTTTTAGTGTAATTAAGTAAAATATATTTGGGCTCGTAATATAATACTAAGGGGTCGTTTATCAAACACTTATCCGCTAAGTGCTTACAGGTAAAATTTAACACTATTATGTACTCATCGGGTAAGATTTTAGTCCACCAAAACGACATAGTATACACTAATTTACCCGGTAAGCGCTTACCATGTTAAGAGTCGCCGCCCTCACTTACCGGGTAAGACTCTTGATATTTGTCTCGTTCTTATCGGATAAGATTCATGGTCCTTATTATATTAATCCGGTTAGGTAATGTTATTTGGTAAACGCTTACTCTTACTCGGGTAAGCGTTTGATAAACGGCCCCTATATTCTTTTGGGGTCTTACTAGATATTAAGAAAATTATGTCTTTTTTATTTACTAATTTTGATGAACTACTGTCATATATTAAAAAGTAGGGCCCCACATTTCTTGTGGGCCACAAGCATGCGTCTAAAGGGCGGGCTAGGCTCGTAGACATTGCTTCTATCAGTTCTATCATGTACTCATGTTTTGCTTGTATGTCCAATTGTGAGGATATGTTCAAGAGATCGCTTAATCTAAACTTAACCTTTATTGTTTTGATGTTCGTTTCTAATTCACATATACAACTCATTAAGGGGTTGTTTATTAAACGCTTACTCGGTAGGTGTTTATCGGACAATTTTCCTCACCGGACGAACATGGGAAGACCCAAGAATCTTACCTGGTAAGAGCAATGATAAGGATAGAGAGTATTACCCGGTAAATGAGGTTGACGACTTTTACCTGGGTAAGCGTTTACCAGATATATTGTTCCATACGATATCATTTTGATATACTACAATCTTGCCCAAAAAATAAATTATAGTGTTGGCTTCTAACAGTAAGCACTTACCGGGTAAGCATTTAAGTAAACAACCCCTAAATATTCTTATTTCATATTGAATCACATGTTTTAAAGTACCATCGAAATGTCGACATGATTGTAAACACACTACTATATCTTAGTTGGGGTTTGTTTGTTTGCAGTTTAATGAGCTTAACGGGACCCAAAACTTATACGTCTATTTATACCTGACTGTTTGGTAGTGGTTTAATGATATACAAATTCACTTAGCTTCTAGTGGGAGCTTTATACAGGAAAAACCAATTTTTTTTCCAAACTTGTCTCTCCCACATAAAAAACATGATCCTTCCATCTATGAGAAAACGACTTGTGTAGGCATCAGAAGTGTGCCTGGACCACCTTTCCAAGAACGACTTGTATACTTTTTGTAATGAATTCTATCCATACTCCTTCATTATGATGTAAATGACTGGTCGTAGGTTTTAAGCTACATAATAAAAATTGGGTGTCATAATTCACCATATTTTTGAGTGACTAAAAGAAAACATGTGGTATGGGTGTGGATCTGAGATTCAACGAATACCAAAATTATTAAGTTATGACGTCAATGCAAACGTTTAATAACTCGTCTTTATTGTAGATGTGAGGGTTGGGTTGGGCCATTCACGTGACACGCTTGTGACCTAATTTTTAATTCATAATTATGAATAATTATCTTTTATCTTTTATCTTTTATCTTTATTTATTTATTTTATAGTTAATGAATCCTCTGAACATAATGTAACATTATATTTTGCTATTATTAAGGATACTTTTTCTAAATATCAAATAGAGTTCTGTTAGAGGAAGGCGCATTTTTGTCCATTTAGCTTTTCCCTCTTTTTTAAATCAAACCCATTAAACGTTCCATTGTTTGTGCATCTACAATTAATTTTATTTAAGGTGCATTTGGTATACAGACAGGACAGGACAGAATAGAATAAGATAGAACAGTTGTTCACCGTTTGGTAAAACATGACAGAACTGGTTAAAATGACCAATTTACCCTCTGTGAGCTGTTTAGTGTTCTTTTCACTAAATAATCAATATAAATGTTAACAAATACGGTGTGCAAAGTATAACTTACATCAAACTACTACTACTTACAAAAATACATTTGCAAAAATACATGATTTCATAATCAACTAATATAAGCATCAAGAATTCATTATCGAAGCAAATCTATATGCATTTCATACTAAGAAGAAAAAACTACTACCAACAAGTGCACAATCAATTAAAATGAATTAAATATCAAATAGTAAATAAAATATAAGCATTAAGAAAACAATTTGGCTAGTGATCCCATATAGTATAATCACATTCACAAAACTTGGTTTCCAAAAAACAATTTGGCTAGTGATCCCATGGCACACTGCAAGAAACAAGGCTTTTAGCAATGACTTTTGTTCTCGTTAAAAGTCCATTTATCATTAGAAAGAATATATAACAACAACATGTCGTTGCAATAACTTGTGGTGGAAACATGTCATCGCTAAAAGGCGCCTTGTCAAAGTTCACTTTTCTTGTATTGACCCTCGGAAAGTACGAATAAATGTTTTTCATTAGTATAAAATTGAGTATAAAAATGTTAATAATTTACCAAGAAAAGAAATCTTATTTATTTTTATTATAGATATATAAGAGAGTACTTAAATTTACATACTTCTTATTAGGTAATTTGAAACCAAGAGTATAGAAACTATGGTTGATAATTTCTTATAAAAAATAAGAATTTTTTAGTTCATAACAAGAAATATGTATTATTTTGATACAAAAAGAGAATTTGTGTGAAAGAAGTAATCGTGGGGGTCAATGAGAGATCAATAATAAGGAAGATTATCAAGGTTTTCTTGACAAGTAAATAAATGAGAATTGTTGAAAGATACATAAGTCAAACAATTGATGAAAATATTTAAATTATATTTTCCTTCTTTTTTTGTTCAACTAAATAAGATGTTAAAGTTAAAAGTTTATGGAACATCATGATCTTAACATTGAATTGTTGAAACATGAAAACAGTCAAACATATAGAGATAATAATAGCCAATATCATTAGACCTTATTGGAGAGAAAAAAAAAATTAGAGAGGCAATAAGCAATAGCATATAATGAATGACCAATTAATTGTTTTATTTTCTTCTCCAATGTAATTAGTTGATATATTTTTGGGCCCTCTTTATCAACTAAATTCTTTTTGCCTCTTATTATATGTTACAATTTTTGGACATCTTTAATTTATTAAATTATTTTAGACTACTATCGTATTTTAAAGGAAAATTTTGGGCCCCTAATATTTTTGGGCCCTGGGTGTACGCCCGTGCCGCCCTCCCCCGAGACGACCCTGTTGTGGATAACTCAACCTTGGATTCTTACAAGACAAGAAGTTGTGTATGAATCTCTTTAGCCATATGATAGATCTTGTTGCATCTTTTATCGCCTTAGATCCTTAACACCACGGTAACAAGAGCACTATTTTTCCTTCAAGATAAGGGGGATTTTTTCATGAAAGTGAAGAAGATAATATAAAGTGAAAGGAGAGATAACCAAGTGTTTTGGGGATTGGGAGTTGTAGGTCTGGTTAAAAAAGAGAGGAAAACCTTAAGGCGGGGTTTGGTATAGGGACAGAACGTGACAGGATGGGAAAAAACTCATTGTACCATGTTTGTTGCGATATGGGACATGAAAAGAATTCACTGTCCCACGTTTGGTACGACATTGGACAGAGACAAGTTAGGGAAGTGTGGGACAAAAAGTGTGTTTGCTACACTAGAGAGGACAGGACAAAACAGAACAAGGATCCCTGTTTCATGTTTGAGAGGGCTTTTATGTGGAACAACCCTGAATAGAGCGGAACAAAGTGGAACAAGCCTGTTCCACCCTTACCCCATGAAACAAGGTGGAACAAACTTATATTTTATCAATATAACTTCAAAGGAAAACTTAATTCTTGCCTAAACCATAAAATAGGTTACTTTTTTATATATTTTATTCATTATTTAAATTTTATTTATTGTATTTTATGTTTTTGAAACTTTCTAGAGATATATTATGTTATTAAAATTAATTATTATATTATAATTTAATAACTTACATAAATTAATCAAAATATATAAACAAGCATTTTACTTGTTCTATTTTGTCCAGTTATGTCTTATCAAACCCTGAACAATTATTTTGTCTTGTTTTGTCCTGTTTTATCATGTCCGGACACCAAACGCACCCAAATAGGTGGAACAAGATGGAACAAGAAATGAGACAAAAACTAAAATATTACAATTAATCATTGTTTGATGTATAACCTTAATATGGTATTTGCTTTAATGGTCGTCACAGCTAGTCGTTGCCGCCACCAACACTAGTAGCCACTGTCGGCCATCTCCACCCCTCCATAACCATGGTCAACCACCAACCACCACTACCCACCATTGACTAGCTCCATTTTCTCCTCTAACTATAACAACGTCCTCCACCACCTCCGTAACCACCATCAGCCACCGACCACCACCGTTCATCTCCACCACCACTACCACTATGGGCCGCCTCTCCTCCACCATTGGCTACCACTACCACTGCCTACCACAATCACTACCTCAAGTACATCAGCCACAATTACCTTCTCAACATTGTCGACTACCACCGCCACCACTATCCACCACCTTCACATCCTCCACAATCGCCTTCACCACCTCCAACTGCACCACCATTACCACCTTCACCTCCACCTCCACCTCCACCATAACCACCACCACTACCTCCACGACTATTGTCGGCCGCCACCACTACTACTATCTACCATATTTATGTCCACCACAACCACTGTTAGACATTAATCACGACCATCCATCTCTACCACCACCATCTGCTACACCACCACTACCCATCACTACTTCCACCATATTGGCCACAACTACCTCCTTCACCATTGTAAACCACAGCCGCCACCACTATCCACCATCTTCACGTCCTCCACAACCACCATCATCCACCAAATCACCAATCACCAATGCCTCTAGATCTACAGTCATTGTTGTTGCAACAATCTTCACCTTCCCTTCATCAATTAATAATGATATTCCAAACTGAATAATACGAATCGGGTGTTAGGGAGGCAACTTGTCTAGTTTTGTCTTGTCCAGTCCTAGTCTTACCAAACATCAGACATACACTTGTTCTATACAGTCATGTCTCATCTAGTCTTATCCTCTTGTCCTGTCCAGTCCTGTCTTATTCTGTCCTATCCAATCATGTATATTGTTTGCGTACCAAACGCTACCTAATGGACAAAAACGCCCCTCCCTCTAACATAGAAAATCAACAGAGTTAGTGACCATGAACCACTTTTAGAAATGAGAACCACTAGAAAGATTTCTAGACTTATCGAACTTCAGGTCCCATTTTTAAAGATTTCACTAAACCTCAGGGATCAAAATTAGAGTTTACTACTTATATGGTTATGTAAGAATATACTATATAAAAACTAAATATTTAGAAATCAAGATAATGTGAAAATAATGAAAGAAAAATATATAAGAGTATCAAAGGATATTTGGTTTAGTAGTTATCTAGGTTATTATTGGTCTTTCTTAAAAGTCAATGGTTCAAATCAGAATATGAAAATATATGGGTATATTTATTATTATTAGAAGGGTACACATGCAATGTAACGAGATATATCTCGATTTGAATGTTTCGTTTTATTTATTCTCTTTGTCTCAATCGATGTTATAATAATGTTCTATGTAGTTTTGAGAAAGCGATAATTTTTTTTTGAACAAAATATAAATATGAAGATATCATAAAAATTTGAAAAAAAATATTGGTATTAGTATCAAACTAACTATTTAAAATATCTTCTTTTTTGTGTATTTCTTTAATTCATTTTCTTATTTTTAGTTTAATAATATAATTTTTTATAAAGATAATAATTAAGTGTTTTGTTATAAGTCAATGATTATCGTAATTGTATTTTAGATTTTTTATACTTAAAATGAGATGTTTATTCTTTATTTGATTATATTTATCTGCAGTTAATTACACAAATTCAAACATAAAGCTTTAATAAGTTGTATTTACGTACAATTTACTTGTAATCTTTAATTTTAAGTAATATGCATCATTAAACAGTACTTCATGCATAAAACATAGTTTTTAAAAGTTTTTATCAAATGTTTTATAATATAGTATAGATAGATATTAGGTATAATATAGATATAGATAACTAACAAGAATTTTATTGATAACATATTTAAAACTTTTATGACTTCAATTCATATTATTATCTATACTATATTATAAAGTATTTAACAAAAACTTTTAAAAACCATTTTATGCATGAAATACCATTTATTGATGCAGATTATTTAAAATTCAATAATATAAGTAATTATACATAAGTACAACTTATTAAAGCTCTATTTTTGAATTCGTACAAATAACTGCAAATAAACATAATCAAATACAAGATAAACATCTCATTTTAAATATAAAAATTTAAAATATAATTATAATAGCCAGTGAGTTTTAACAGAATATTTATTATCATCTTTATTAAAAGTATATTATTAAACAAAAATAAATTACTTTGTTATTAAATCTAAATTAAATTATAATTCAAAAAGTTGAATTCAAAAATTTAGACAAAAAACGAGAATTTTTAAATAATTAATTTAATACTAACATCGGTATTTTAAATATTACCCATAAGAAAATGAATAAAATGAAACACTAAAATCGAAATATATTTCGCTGTATTACGTGAATACCCTTCTAGTTATTAATAAAACACAATCCTATATATATATATATATATATATATATATATATATTAAATATTACCCATAAAGAAACGATATCACTAAATCTCAAAATTCAAATAAAATATAGAGTAAATTACACGTAGTTTTTAAAAATAATAGTTCTAAAATTCTAAGACACTTATTATCATAAGAATAATACTCACACAATATATCGAGATATATTTTGATTTTAATATTTTATTTTATTCATTACGGTTTTACATGGTTTTGAGAAAACAATAATATTTTTATTTTTGAATAAAATTTAAATTTAAAGATATCATAAAACTTTGAAAAAAAATATATTGATTTTGGCATCAAGTTAATTATTTAAAAATTCTCGTTTTTTAATAATTCTTTAATCTAACTTTTTATTATAATTTAATTTATATTTAATAATAAAGTAATTTATTTTTTATTTAACAATATAATTTATATAAAGATAATAATTAAGTATTCTGTTAGGAGTTAATAATTATCTTAATCATATTTTAGAGTTTTAATATTTAAAATGAGATATTATATTTATCTACAATTAGTTATATATACGAATTCAAAAATGAAACTTTAATAAGTTGTACTTATGTATAATTTACTTGTAATCTTAAATTTTAAGTAATACACATTAATTAATAGTACTTTATGCATAAAAATGAGTTTTAAAAGTTTCATCAAATGTTTTATGATATAGTATAAATATACTTATAAAAAAACATCAAAATATGTTACAACTATTAAGCAGTTTCTATTGAAGCGTCAATATTTATGGCCTGCTTCGTATATAGGTTTCATATTTCTTTTATTTAAAACTAAGAAAGAGGAATAAAAGATGATGGATTTTGAATTTTTGCAATTGCATTTTTGGATCTTCAAAGATGAAAATGTAGATAAGGATACAAAGATGAAAGGATGTTGTCACAAAAACAAACAAATTTGGGTCGGTTTGTTTCGTCTTACATTGTCCTTTTTCTCTCGAAACCAAAATCTTTATATTCTTTAAGGGCTCAAATAACTTTATTCAATATAAGATAGGTCTTAGGTTCTATCTAAAGCCTCATTTTTAGCCTTAACCACTGAATGAGTCAAAAAATATACTCTTCACATTGGTGTCTTTAAAGATAGAGACGAGTTTCATATGATGCCAGTTATTCTATAATCTACATTATATTATAAAGCATTTGACAAAACCTCTTAAAAACCATTTTTTATACGTAAAATACTGTTTAATAGTATATATTACTTAAAACTCAAGATTGCAAGTAGATTGTACGTAAATACAACTTATTAAAGCTTCATATAACTAACTGCAGATAAATATAATTAAATAAAGGATAAACATCTCATTTTAAATATAAAAAATTTAAAATATAATTAGGATAGTCATTAACTTCTAACAAAATATTTAATTATTATCTTTATAAAAAATTATATTATTAAACCAAAAATAAACAAAAT